ATCTCTGTTTCTGCGAGCAAGCTGTAACACTTCTTCCTCGTCTCTGTCCTCCTGGAGTCCACAGGCATCACTCATGGAACTGGGCCATCTGGGTTCAAAATTCTATGAATGCTCTTGAAAGGTTTTTGCAGAGTAGAGAGAAGCAAAGTAGGAGTTGTGAAATTCTACTTTCTCTTGAATGTTTAATAAAACTTCATCAATGAGACACAGCCTTGTGGCAAATGAAATATTTAAGGATATTTTAGATTATGAGTGCCACATAATCTAAATTGCAATGCATATTGTGGCCTCATGAAATCCTGGTGGGCTGGAAAGTTTAAAGTAAAGTGAGAGGTGGACTCTCAGGTGAGGGTGACAGTGAATCATTGAACCAAAAACAGTGACATCTTATTCAAGGCAGCTCTATGCTAGACAAGAAGACTTTAAATTGCAAAGCCAAATTACATTTTAAGAACCAGTTGGGCATCTGTGTTTTATATCTGACTTAATGACATCAAAGTAAGAGTTGGTGGTAAGAAAATACGTGTGAGAAAGAAAGTGAAAGTTCTCGAAGCAAGATGGGGTGAGACAACTGGAGTAGGTGACCTGACTACTATTGAATCATTGCTTCACCAAGAAATGGACCAAAGACTTACCCCCTTTCCCTACATCTTTCACCCACCACTGGTGGATACCAGTATATTTTGCTCTCGGTTCATTAAAGAAGTACAGAAATATCCATTTAAAAACTTCTCAATAACTTTATCATCCAAATTGTAATTCTTATAACAGGAAATCCACATTTATTTTTCCAAAGAGGTGGTAAGTCCTGCTCAAGACTGAGGCAATGGAGCAACATGTCCAGTACTCTATGTATTGTGGTGACACAGACGTCAGTTTATCACCAATACAATTTCCTTTCAACAAGGAACCCTGTTCTTCTGTGGTGAAGGTGGTAGTTTGAATCATTTCACGCTGAATCATTTCCAGCTCCTGTGGGAGCCTGACACATACTTAATCTCAACAGCAGTTTGTTATCAAGAGCACTGATTCTCAACCTCAGCAGGATTCAAGTCATCATTACGCAGAATTCTACATGGTTTTACCCAACAGGTTCATAACATTATCTAAAGAGATATGGAATTAGAAAAAATTAACTTACATTAAAATATATACTATTTTCTGAAATCAAATTTAACAGAGTTCAACATATGTTTACAAAATGTATTGTGAGGATAGGAGTGGGAACAAACGTGTGCCTCTAGGTCAATATATGCCAGGTAAGCCCATGCTTACAACACTGCAACACCAGGTAAGAGAGCAGTTCACTCTTGGCGAGGTCATCAGGGAAGGCTCGGTAGCCCATCACTGTCAGCAGGGCAGATAGAAAGGGCCCAGGCTGGGGTGGCTTTGCTGGTAGAGATGGGGGAAGTGTGGCTTCGGTCGTGGCCTCCTCAGAAGGCAGTCCCTTATTTTCCTTTAATTCACTCTTACTCCTGACTGGAATGACAGAATGAGTACTGTAGGTGTTCAAGTACATATTTTTTTCATTTTTCTTGGGTGAAATATGTAGAAGTGAGTTTGTGGTTTCTGTGGTAAGTACATGTCTCACTTTATAAGGAACTAACACAGTTTTCTCAAAGGGGCAGTGTGTTTCCTCATTCCCACCACCAAAACGGAGAGCTAAGCTTGCTTTACATCTTTATTTACATTTCTTGCCTACCTTTCCAATTTTAGCCACTCTTGGGTATGAAATGATATCTCATATCCACTTTAATTTGCATTTCCCTAATACCTAATGATGTTGACCATCTTTTTTGGTGTGTTTTACCTATATATTTTCTTTGATGAACTATCTTAGATTTTTTTCTGTTTCTTGAGATATTTATCATTTAGATATTAAGAATTCTATGCATATTTCGATGCAGCCTACTAGCATCTATTTGAGTTTATAAATATTATTTTCCAATTCTATGATTTGGTTTTTTCCTGTTTCCTCAAGTGTCTTTCAAAAAGCAGAAATTTTTAATTTTGATCAAGCATAATTTATCATTATTTAACAATTCTTTCTTTTTTTACAATTTATAGAAGAATAGAATAGAATTCTTCATCCCTGTGATTACACAGATTTTCTCCTATGTTTTCTTTTAGATATATTGTGTTTGGCTTTTGCATTTAGAGCTATAATCTATTTAAGTTAATTTTTACATATGGTGTGAGGCACGGGGAAAGGAACAGTTCTTTTTATATGAAAATCCTGCTGTTCCAGCACCACTTTTTGAAAAGAGTGTCCCTCCTGCCCTGAATCACCCTGCACCTCATTAAAAACAATTGGCCCCTAGCATGTGGGTCTGTCCCTGAGCTCCATCCCACCAGCATATGTGTCCACCCTGCCCTTCACCTGCCCCCCATCGCCACGCCATGGAAATTTAGCTTCCCTTCCATGTCCAGAGGTCAGGCTGTGTGAAGCCTCTGATTCCAGGAATATATAACTCTGCATAAATTTCACTTATATGAATTTACTTCTTTACATAATTTATGTACTTCTTTACGTAATTTGGGCTTGTTGGTAAACACAATTACATTCCTGGAATCAGATGAATCCTTTGAGACTTTCTTATAAGTTTCTGCTCTGCTCAGAGCACGTTCAGGGTAGAACTGTGTCAGCCCACACTCTGACGTGCACCTTCTGAGACTTAGAAGGATCCCTACTCACGCTGCAGGGTGGGAGCTGCCACAGCCTGGGGAGCTGGGACCTCTGCCCACTCCTTTCTGGAGTTCTTCCTCCAGCCTGGACTCACTTCCTCTTGTGGAAAAGCTTCTGCTGTTTTCATAACTTCTTGCATGTGGCTCCTTCCTCGCCTTAGCTCAGAGAGGCTGCACTCTCTTTAGGGTCCCCCAGCCCTCTCTGCAGTGTGTTGGGGACTGAAGAGCTCATCATCTCTCACATCACTCGTGCTCCAGGCCTGAGATGCCTATCGCCTGAGGCCTAAAGGCTGACATTGCACCTTGACTGGCATTACGCAGTAGGTGCAGTGGAGCCCCACTGGCCCACAGTGCCTGAATGCTGTGTGCTTGTAGTTGTGCTTCGATGCCATGTTTAATCTGATAATCTCACTGATGTGAATGCCTCCTCTGTGCTCTGCTTCTGCGTGCTCTAAAACACTCAGCCTGCCACCTGCAGGCACCTGCAAAGTGCTGAGGACACTCCATACTCCCTCCAGTCATGCCCAAGGCAGTGACCAAAAGGCAGCAAAGACTCCATCTCCAGTGAGTGACTCTAGGTATCCTTGAAGAAATGGGGTTGGTAAACACAAGATGAGAACCAGCATCTATGAGAAATGTGTTCAGAATGTCACTCGGGGTGAGCCTGTGCTATGCTGACTTCCTCCCTGAGTGTGGGTACAGCACTGGTAGGGCACAGTGTGGTGGTATTGCAGCTCCCCACCTGCCCTTGAGGCTGTGCTTCCGCTCTCACTCCCTCTAACCTCATCAGGCCCCCACAGCAACAGTGAGACCTAGTGAGTGGTTGGAAAGCAGCTTAACACAGTGGTCATGAGTTACAGGTGATGGGTCTTACTGGATGGAGGGGGCAAGCAGAAAGATAAACAGCAAAAACAGAAGAGCGAGTCAGAATAACAAAGAGATCTTCCTTGATCCTATATGACTTTGTCGGGAATTCTTTTTCTTTCTTTCTTTCTTTCTTTCTTTCTTTCTTTCTTTCTTTCTTTCTTTCTTTCTTTCTTTCTT